ATATATATATCAGATTAGCGTATTATATTGCGATTACAGTATAGGTTTTCACTTTTTATTTGCTGCTATTATGGTATACTACTCTTACATCTGTTTAGTGGTGTCAGCATATTTCCGCCAAAACCTCATAGCAGACGCTTGGTGGGAATAAACAAAATCGTTTCGATCGTCCAATGATCAACGGCATTGGTAGTGTATCGGTGTTTTGGCAGCGCTTCAAATTTGCTATAAAACAAAATGTTAAATATTTTACGTAAAGCTCAATTAGTGAACTAAATTGACTGATAAGCGTCAGAACTTCATGTTTGAACATTTGCTCTTGATTGACAGTCGATGGCCTCCCAAGCATCACGCCCGATTTCAGACTAAAACTTAATACTTGTGTGGAATTCATGTGTCAATCAGGAGTCACCGAGTATTTCAATGCTTTCCGACAGCCTCCAGTTGGACGCTCTATAATATAAGATCGTAAAAGAAAACGGACTTGAGCGTTGTAAATTATCGGTATCCATACCAATGTCGTCCCAGTTACGTTCAACATTCAGGAATAATTACTCAGAGCAACTGGAGAAATTTTTCGCTAACTATAAACAGCAACCGGTAGTTAAAGCAAATCGAGCGCTCTACATATCCGATTGCTTCGCCTCTGTAAGTTGTAAGGCTACTTAGGAATATATACAGCTCAAAAAGAATACATCACGATTTATATTAGAATTCATAATATAAGTTAAATAATAAAGCATTTAATTTTAACCAACGGTAGATTTTTATAAACCTCAAATGGCAGAGGAAATATACAAATTATAAAAATATCTCTACCTAGAAATTAGTTATAACTGATCTTTGTGATGTGCGTTATTTGTTTTGCCATTGGCGTCATATGGCATTTTTCGTATTTCAGTTGTTTTTGATTAAAGTCAAATACCGATATCGTTTTATTTCTTAGTAGTAGTAGTCAATATTTGAACGTTATGGAACGTCTTATCTGTTCATTTTACATAACAGTCTACATGCTTAATATTATATAAACGTTAAACAAAACCCGATACAAGATATATATGTGCGATTTGTTTGAAATAAAAGAAGATTAAATAGTATTCTTTAGTGTAAAAAATGTATATAAATAAATTTTAAGTGAATGGGATTCAATCAGAATAAGCAGCAAATAAAAATGGTAGACAATTTGTGGACCATAACTCAGAGAATTTAAGCTCTGTATAAGCACCTATTTATCATGTTCGGCTAAGTAAAATCTATATCACCCATGCACACACGGGCGTTCTTAAGAGGCAGAAACTAATTACTCAAGAGGGTATTGATGAATAAAAGAGTCTTGTTTATTCTAATTAAGCTCAGCTTATTTCTCGTAATTTACATTTTAATACATATTGTTGAATAAAACCACCAGAATTAGTAAATCAGTCTTCAAAAATGCGGTTCGCAGGTGTTGCCACTGAAAAATACCCCCTTTAGCCTCAATATAGGTTCTATTACGGATTTAGGACATGCTTGGCATACTTAGAGTTGTATTATGTTACACTTCAACGGAATACATAGTGAAAATTATTTTTTATGTCCGACTACACAATTTCTTTGTTGGAACAGACATCGATGGTATCACAGGCATCGATTTGTGCTGATTGACCGTTTATACGAGATTATTGAGTATGAAAGCTTCGGGTTTTCTGTTAAGCAATTTAGAGATATGATTACAAGACTATGTGTTATAAACTCCTATGCGAATACTAAAATTAAAATCATTAAGTGGCCAGAATGTAACTATGTTTTACTCCGATTTTTGTTTTCAAGTAAGCCATGTAATAAACATTGACGATTCAAACAGTCTCGAAACACATTTAGACCTCCGTAAATAACAGCCTACCTCCAAAATATTTTCCGTACCGAAATATAATAGTGTACATATCATTAGATAATAATTGGGGAATGTTGTTTGCTTAATTATTATTGTCCTTTCAGTTTGAACCTGGCGAAATAATTATCAAAGAGCCCAGCAAATTCTTTCGAACGCTCGATTCGAATGTTAACTGTAATATCCGTAAGCTTGAACGTCGCTGTAGAGAGCAGAGCGCGCTAAGCGCTAACAAAGCGCTGGAGCAAAAGAGTAAGCTAAAAGATAATAATCACTGAGAAGTTAACTGTTTTTTTTTATTAAATTGATGACATTTTAAATATATTAGAAAACGCTAATACACTTTCATCAGACATTATTTTGCATTGAAAATCGTTTTGCTTTTGCTGTATAACGTACTAAACGTTTCACACTTGTTTTATATCACTGCAGTACAGTTTTCTAATAGTAGCATAATAACTACTATATTTAATAAATAGTCAAGCTTATAGTCACAACTTTATTTGTAAAAAGCAAGCCCGAACATGCTGAAGAAATCTGAGCCACATCTATATACTCTTTGTTGCCACTGCCAACCGAATAGCGAAATTCGTTCGGCAATTTGGACGCTATTGAGCTTCAAGTTCGCTACAGATTAAGTGGTGGTGAGTAACTGTAGCTATTAATAATAGAAAAGCTAACTGGTTGCCTAATTTTTTTGCGCTGCATTTATCTGTTGTTATGGCAGATTCCGAGATCCCTTCAATCCAGAACTTCTTCATTAAAAAACAGGCTAGCGATGCCGTTTGTGGTTCTGAGCAACGTGCTTGTTCTGCAACAAATCTAACTACCGCGCATTCAACTAATCGTTTGCCAGTAACAGCACTCAACAGCAAAGACTCTAACAAGACCGCAGTCGATGATGACGCCATATTCGATAACCTTCCGTCGTCGCCACCAGCGACGCGTTTACATGACACTCTGCAGACAACATACGCACAGCAGGTAAAATTTTGCGCGACTACGCAAGCATAAAACTGAGTGAAGTTGAGCCGAGCTGATTTGTGCAGTTAACACGACTCTAGCGTCTCTTGTCGTCTAGGGTACCATTACAGGAATTTGATTTTCGAGTTAGCAATTATATCGTGCTTTATTAAATAAATAACGTTAATAATAAACGTTAAGTAGTATTTATCCATAACCGGATAAAATAAAAGCATGACAAAACACTGTCAAGTAAATAATGCTCCACGTATGAAGTATACGTACATCTCTACGTGATGTTTGTGGTATTATTGCTAAATGTGATTCCAGAGTCAGAATAATAAGCAGATCGTTAGTGGAAGCATTATTGACAGTGGAGATGAGCTTCTAGCGTCTATCGAAGTGAGTGTGCTGTTTTAATTTTGTACGTTTTGTTGTCTCAAAAGCTGTTCTTGAAAAAAATGTACATTTCTATAGCACTACTATTTACATTCCATATACATATTTAGAATTCATGTGCTACTTTTTTGAGAAAACTTCTCGATAACTTCAATTGTGTTTTTTTACTTCGCTTGGGCGATGCGACTATTTTTTTAATATAATTGCCAATTCTTAGATTTAAAAGTAGTAAACAACGTATATCACGTTACGTTTTTAATTGCTTATGTTTAGCCATATGGCAAAAAACGGCATACAATTCAAAGGTACATCTAATTTACCATATCCTTCAGGACGGTTCGTTACCTACAAGAACTGGACCAAAAAGGCCTGTAGCTGATTCGCCTACCTCCGGCATACCGCCAAAACGCGCTCGAATCAGCGATTTTATCGATAAAGAAAAGAATGAATTATTCAATCTCTCCGAAGATGACGAACAACTTAGAACAGATAAGGTTCCAAGTAACGGAAAATCTTTAAAGAGGGTCAGTTGCAACCCCGACCCTACAAGTTCAGATTCTGATATCGAGCTTGTACCGCTTGCTTCTAGAATACCCAAAAGTAAGTGAGGTTTTCAGTTAAAAAGGTGTTATTAAGAGTCGAGCAATTTATTGCAGACATTGTTTAATTTTGTTGTAGTTGATCCTTAACGAATTATCATTCTCACTCATAATAATCATATACAAGGATATATACCTTAGTTATATACTTTGGTTATTTCCTAACTGAATTGATTTGCTTTGCAGGCGCTTTGCGACAGCCTTTAAAAAAGAGCCATTTACCAAGTGAAACCAATAACAGAAGTGGTAGAGACCATACTTCAGACGTGCAAATTATTAAAACGGAATGTAAAACTATTGCGCCGTCTAGAGATCAAGCCTCTAAGCGCGTGATTTCAATACTCGATTCTGACGAAGAAGTGGATCTCGATTATGAAACATTGCTTAAGAACCAGCCATGTCTAAGTAGTCGACATGGGACAACAGAGAGAGGTAACTTGCGTGAAGTAAATAAGTATATGAAAGTACAATCACGTCTCGAACACTGCAATTAGCTCCCTGATTCCTGAATAATCTGTATCTTCATTCTATACGATATATTATACATCTTTAATGAAGACTAATTAAATTGTTAGACTAACTACTATGAAATGTTACGAAAAATTATATTTCACAAATATTCATCATGTTATTCGCTCACATAACTGATTAAAATCGAACTTATTTTAGACGAGATTGGTGTTGAGAAGAGATTTGGAATACAGGCTGCACATCCTCTTTTGGTAAGTGTTATGGGTACGCTGACGTTCAATTCCTTGATCAATAAGCAAAATCTTTGTGGTGTATGTGTGTGAATAATCCAAGTCCTATAAATACTGCGACAACGTTAAATCACAGCAAATCAAACTCTAATAGTCATTTCCTGAAAATCATTTTTTAAAACAACATGTATTCTCAGGATAAGTCAGTTCATAGCACTCTAAAATCATCCATTTTTGGCTGTTCTCAAGGAATCTATTAACTCTGTCATGCGCTCGATACAATGCTAATAGTATTGTTGTTAGATGTTAGATCCATCTGAATAGGTGACTAGTAGTATAGATAATCACTTTTCATAATCTATTGATGTCTGCATGCTTCATGATTCTTGACTACAAACTATATTTCGTTGTATATCTAGTATATGCCAGCTAATGTTCTCGTTGTGTCTAGTTAAAGGTTCCGTTGTCATCCTTCTGATTCAGTACAGATACGTTTTCTTTCCATACACAATATTATGTATCATGTTGATTCAGTAGTAACATTAATATGAGGTCAGAGTAAGTAAATAATTCATAAATTTCCTCTTCTTTTAGATATCATTGGCAATATTGCTCGATGATAAACATTAGTTTATAGCATGCTGTTTGTTATCGCTTTTGTTCTCATATTACAGCCCGCGAAACGTGACTGTACTCCGAACTTATGTGTTCTTGATTCGGAGAGCTCAAACGATGCTGAAGTTAAAAACCGACCGAACCAAACCTTTAAAACTGAATATGTTCTCCCGAATGAAATGCCCACATCGGGCATTAGTAGTCCTCATCAAGATACTCGCGACCGTTTTCAGACCGTGTCTACTCAACAATTGACTTCAAGTTCTCGTTTTTTGGATTCTGAGGGTTTAAAAAACGTTAACTGTTCAATTAGACAGGAACCCAAATGCCATATCGGAGACACTTCTGATGATGAAGTATCTTTAGCAGAGCGTAATAATATTACCCGAGATACCCCTAAGAGCTTCATATTTCCATCAGCACTGAAATCATCTGATGTCGAGCAATATGACTACAAACTGGAAGAGCTAATACGTAGCGACTATTCGAAGATGATAATAGTCTGTCGGGAACTTATTAACAATGGAGTGATCACACCAGAGGCCAAGGTTATTATAGACAAGACTTCTCTTTTTATTTCTTTTACTAATTAAAACCTACCTAAAAGATAAACTTACGGGTTTCCTAGTCGGCATGGATAGCATCTCTCTGTTTAACAAATAACATCACTGGTTCATGAACACAACCAGGTTATCGATTCATCGTTCTTAATTTTCTTCTCTTATATAATGTATCTAATTGAAATTATTTGGCAATACGCATTTACAGAGGGCTCTCAAGGAGCACCAAGAGCTACGCCTTCAAATTGAAGAAAGGAGTACCCCAGCAAGGCCTAAGGTGTGGTATGCGTAGATCTGTGGAGAAGCTATTTTACATTAATTGGATAGTGGTCAATGAATGTGATAGATTTATATAATAGTTTCTGTAATTGCATCTGGTATTTGTTTCAAGGAATGAGACATCAGGCCGATATATCGTACAAGCAAAAAAAAAACACTTGTAAAAAATGTGTTGGAAAATTTAGCATTCAGTTGATCCAACTGTCAACATAATACGTTCTAAACATGAGTTATCGTTTGCAGACACGTTTTTCGTTTTCAAAAACGCCAAATGAAGGACCAGTCCAGTCCCTAGGCACGGACATCGACGTTACACACATGGGAATTTCGGAGAACCCAGCAAAGGTTGAACGAGCATCAAGTAGACCCTCTGTAGTTTTGGGACCTACGTTATCGCAGGTATCCAATACAAGCAAGACTGCCTGACGAAAAACGCTAGCTTAAATCAAAGACGTTTCGTGAGGACACTACTTTCGCGTACCGGAAAAGTTCTGCATCATGCTTGTCTCTGAGCTTATTTTCGCACCTGCGGTACATCTCCCGTGATAAATATATTTCATCTTGAAAACAAAGCGTACTGTTCCAACGATTTATATCTCAAAACGACCTATAGCGGTCATTAAAATAAATTAAGTGAGCAGAAGACTTGCCGCTGTTAGGGTCTTTAGTGTGAGATGATATGAAAATGATATAACATGCAACATCTGTAATGAATACACACGTCGTATTTAAAATTTTTTAATTGGGCCTGAGCAAATACTTTTGCCATCACTAGGGAAGGAATACCCATTAAGTTGAATTCTATTTGGTTTTAATGTCAGGACTCCATAGATCCTGTAAACAGCCATGAAAACCATCAGAACGATACAAGCGGCGACGATTATCCCGTACTGGCTCCACTGAGTGTGAAACTCGTCCAGAAAATGGAAAAAAGAGCTTTTACAGGTAAAACTACATTCTCGTTTTATAATGCATAATTAGTGCACGACTAACATTGAAAAGTTCTCCAAAAGCAGATGGAGTAACAATGAAGTTCATTTAGTTTGTTACATTCCTCTATATGACATATTTAATAATAATCTGTCAAAGCGTGGCTTACACCTTAAATGAAAGGCGACAGATAGATATGTTAGCTGCTTAGTAATGTTATCGAAGTTTTCAAGATTTATATTACATACAGAAATACTTTGAATTTGTTACAGCTTTGCCTGCGAAACCTCAGCCTGAACCAAAAGTAGAGCCGGCTGCTGTGATAAGCCCAAACATCGAGTGCGGAGTACCGGGCACATGTTCTGAGAAATTATCTCAGACAAATTTTTTCTCATCCGACGACGAGCTCCTGTTCAGCACCGAAGATGACAAACAGTCCGTTCTTTACAAGAATTTAGTAGTAAACTTAGTACCGCACTATATCCTAGTAGCACCACACGTACAATATGTATGAGTACCACAAATGCGGTTTCAAAAGCAATTAATATCAATCCATTTCTGATATAACACGTGAGGAACGCTAGCTACTCCGAGAGAAACAAAGTCGCGATAGAAGTGATATTTGAAATCCGTGCGAGGCAAAATATAAATATAGGTGACATTTCTGCCAAGACATTACCCTGGTGAAAAGTTGTTTGGACGAAAATGCTTGTCACACAATCACCGGTACATGTAAATAAAAAAGTGAAGATTGAGCATGCAGTAGCTTTCTGAACAGTAGCACTCATACGTGAGTTTATATGGGCAAGGTTAGTTCAAAGACTTGCCTTTAGTGGAAGATAAGGAGACTAAATAGCAATAGGCTACGTTAGAAATATAATTACACAAAATTTATAGGTACTTGAAGCAGCTTTAGGTTGAGGTGCTTACAATTTGTAACATTCATTTTATTTTTTTTCTACTTCACACGAATAAATAAATGCACCGTACTTATTTCAGGAACAACACAGTGTCATCGTCGTTGCAGCAAGATGAAATGCAACTTCGAGGGAAATTTTCAGGAGATTCGAAAGATGATGGGGCAACCGGCGAATTTGATGGTGACACGTATCATTTTTCCAATGTGAGTCAAACGTCTACTTTCATAGGCTGAGAGTTATTTGTTCTCTTGTTCTCGCAGACGGAATTAATTTTTAGTACACAGATTTATAGCATTTTAGATTGATGAAATAGTTGTTGGTTTAACTTTTATCATAACAAAAAGCGGTGTGATGGCTAAAAGGAGAGCGCAACTGACTTGAAATCTGGAAAATAAGGGTCTCTACTGATCGAATTCCACAACTAAGCAAAAGAGAATTGTTGCACGATGTAGGAGATCTGGTGTCCTATATCATTAGACACAAACGTAAAATTATGGTAGCGATGAATTTGTCATTGCTGTCACAAAAAAGGAAAAAAGGAGGTCGTATGATGATTCAAGGGTGACTTGGCTGCTTGTGAATCTTAGCACGTATGGATGGTGTACACATGTCAAGTACCGAAAACAGACGCAATGCTGTATTTCTGTGGTGGTACAATGGTGTTTGGCTAGTAACGTGAGAAACGTAAAGCTGTTCTAGGTTGAAACATGGGTGTAAGTATTCCTTGGTATTTCAAAAAAGATTCGGGCAATAAAAAAACGATGTCATAGTCTTTTTTTTATTCCATGCAAGCGTTTCCGCACGCAAAATTCGAAACATTTTATAATGACTGTCATAATCAAAAGATACTCATAGTAGGGTGAGGCGCCTTATGTACTATTGGGCTGGATAATTATAGACGTCAGGTTGGAGTTAGTATACCGTACCTATACATCAAGAATTTTGTCTCTACTTGTTTATTATGCCAAGCCAACCCGAAGCAACAGCTTATGGCGTTCTTTAAAACACCGTTTATAGCAAAAAATAACCTTCAAGTCAGTATTTTGAATAAGATCAAGAATTGAAAAGCTTTCTTATCACCCATAGTAATTTAGATGTATGCATACATTCCAGCTAATGTTTGACCTGACTTTTTTCCAGGACATGCGAGAAAAATTTGAGAATATTTTTGGGTTAAAGGCTTTCCGTCATAACCAGAAACAAGCGATTAATGCCACGCTTCTTGGCCATGATTGTTTCATCCTTATGCCCACAGGTTCGTACAGATTAGATGAATTCGGCTAATGACAATGAGACTTATCAAAAAAAGACCAGCACAGTGTAGCTTTTAAATAAGCTTTTAAATAACGTTAAATAAACGCAATTTAGTTCGAACTATAGTGAAACACTGCTTTTTGTTGGAATATATTTCTTTGCTTTAAAAACTTTATTGGCCGGAAAACAAAATCGGCATAACGTTTAGAATTTGTCGTGTAAGGTTCCTATATAGGTTGATGTCAAAGTTCGTAGAGCTATTCATTATCAGATCTATATATAAATATACTTTGCACAGAACCCTACGCAGAGTCGCATACACTATCAGTTGGTAGACATCTACAATACATATTAAAGTATAGTAGATATTTACCTTCTACGTATTTTCATTCCTCATGTTATATAAATAAAAAGTGCTCCTTTTCAAAACGTAATTTCGATTCATATAAACATTTTTGTAGCCTATTAAAACTAAAGAAAATAAATTCACATACGTATTGTCACTGATCACAGGTGGAGGAAAAAGTTTGTGCTACCAGTTGCCTGCGGTCTGCTCCCCTGGAGTGACTCTGGTCGTTTCTCCTCTCAAGTCACTTATACATGATCAGACGAACAAGCTCACTGCGCTGGGAATTCCCTCTGGTTATCTCACATCCGAGGTCAGTTAAATTTCGGTAGCTACTCATGTCTGTATCTAATGGTATAAAATGAGCCGCTGGAGCTTTTTGTTAGTCTCGAGGTCTATCCCTATAAGAACAAGACATTTTCTTGGAATTAAATGAACAATTGTTTACGATGCGAACCTTGGAGGAAACTAAGACTTGCAGAATTAGTAGCAACTTGCGCCACCGCATACCAACTCTGTTATTAACATTTACAGGACGATGGCAGTAATGGAAATGACACCGATATTTATGGAGATTTACACAGTGTTGAACCGACCTTAAAGCTCCTTTACGTGACACCCGAAAAATTGGCTGCCTCGAAGAAGCTTCTGTCTGTCCTACACCATCTGCAGAAGCGTAATCGCCTGGCACGATTCGTTATTGATGAGGCACACTGCGTTTCTCATTGGGGACACGATTTTCGGTAAATAATGTACATATATATATGTATAGTAACAATAATATTTGTTCCAGAGCGCAGATATAAAGATTTGAGTGCTCTCTGCTTTTGTGCCAGCCTTTTCATCGAATAATAAAAAGGTTGAAACACTCCGAGAATCGACTACAAACGGTGTAATGTCTACCAAGACTGAGCTCTTAATAAAAAAAAGTTCATAGAACCATCACCATAAAGTAGAGAAAAGCACGAACTCCGGGCTAATAGGTTATTTTTGATACATTCTTACTTTTATGTGGTAGCTCTAGCCGATGATCTCCGATCAAAGCCACCCGTTAATGCACCAGGCCAAGTCATTATAACTGAGTCAAGCCTTAAAATGTCCTTTGAATGAAATTTAAAATTAAGAGATACAGTACAATTATACGTGTACGAATGCACCAACAGGCCAGATTACCAGAAGCTGAGTGAATTACGGAAACGTTACCCTGGCATACCAATGATGGCTTTAACGGCTACTGCTAGTCCGCGCGTTCGTCAGGACATTTTGGTTCAGTTACAGATGAAGCAGCCTAAGTGGTTCTTACAAAGCTTCAATAGGACTAATCTGCGTTACGAAATTGTGCAAAATCGTGAGTAGCTTAACGAAACCAATGATAGATTATAGTCATTCAGTTTCATCAACATTTTTACTCGTTTGCATCCCAAGATGACCTTGGCTACCTGTTTATAGTAGTGGACAGATATTGTATTCAGTTTAGTTCGCGTATTAAGAAAGAATTTTTTCTGTCTTATTATTATCTTGCTTTTGTTTTTCAGCTAAAAAACCCGTGGTCGACGAGATCATCGAGATTATAAAAAAGAAGTTCAAAAACAAATGTGGAATTGTGTACTGTTTATCTCGCAAGGACTGCGACGATACTGCTGCAAGGCTAATGACGGTAATGACAAATGAAATAGTTAGAATTTTTTTACCAGTAATCACGATTGTACTTAAAGCCTTTTAATATAACTTCCTATAATGTATGCCAAAAGCAGCAGAAGACAGCAGCCCATCTCGGACAAGGTTAGCTCTGATCCACGTTTCCATTTGTTCTTATCGCGGCGAATGTCGTTAGAAGCTTTGATTGTTTTTCGTTCTTATTATAGCATAGAATTGTGAAAGACAAGTACTTTAAGTAGCCTCAATTGCTACACCTGAACCCATTTAATTACTTTAAAGAACTGTGCGTACGTGATTAGATATAGAATAAGATTATATATATCAATTAGAGAGGAAAAACAGTAGGAGAATTTGAAACGATATGAAGTGTACTAATAATCAAAATAATAATCGCTTATCAGCTTGAATTGCAATGCATTCTACTGTATATGTGGGGTATTTTATTAGCATCAGATGTGACCTAACAGTGCACCACGTGGGTTCGAATTCCAGGCCGACATCTCTGCCATCAGTTATCATGCAGGAATGGATCCCCGAGAACGAAACCAAGTCCAAGATATGTGGATCAACGGTGATAAGGACGTCGTATGTGACTTCTGCATTAAAATGCATTATACACAACATTATGTATGCAAATACCGCAAGGTTGAAGCATTGTGGTATTTGTATTAATAAAACTTGGACTGTTAATCGTAGTACAAATTTGTGTTATTGGTCAGAACGTCAGTGTAAAAAAGAATCTGGTTCGTAGCGGCATCACCAAACTTGTGTTGAGTGCTATATTTAGATTGCTTACGGGTGGCCTGCTATTTAAAAGGACAAATTTCACGCGACGTTTTTTTTTCGCATATTAAGAACAACATAAGCTTGGTTTAGTTGAGATTTTTTTTATCAATGATACCTTAATATTTGTCCCGTAGTGCGCTTGATTTCCAAACTGCGCAAGATTCATTGACATCATTCATTGACTACAGGGAGTAAACGAAGTTCCCTTTAATGGCTCTGTTGAGTAACAAACTTTATGTATCCAAAGTCAGCCTTAGTATCAGTTTACGTTTTATTTTAGGTTTGTGCTACTATTGCATTTGGTATGGGCATAGACAAAGCTGATGTTCGCTTTGTTATTCATGCGACACTACCGAAGTCCGTGGAGGGCTATTACCAGGAAACGGGCCGCGCTGGACGAGACGGTCTCCCATCCGATTGCATTCTATATTTCCGTATGGCGGACTACATCAGGTTAGTTTAGTAGCCAAACAGCTTTTGTTTCGTAAACAAACGTAAAATTTAAACAGATTTAGAATGCTTTTCAATACGTTTACCCGCATTGTATGAATCCACTGTTATTTCTATTATTAGTTGTATTAATTTTCTGATGTTGTTTAATATTCGCTAAGGTGGCGCAAGTTGATAGAAAAGGCAAAGGAGACGTCGTCACTGGAATCAAGGAACACCCATTATGCTAACTTATGGATAATGACCCGTTTTTGTGCTAACGAAATCGATTGCATACGCCACCAGATACTTAAATACTTTGGAGAAGACTTCGGTTCAAAGTTCTGCGAATCTAACCTCAGGGTTAGTATGTAAATTCGCGTTGAGAGTGTTAGAATAATGTCAGTCTCATTGTGTAAGTATCGAAATTCAAGAAACGTTAAAAAGAGACGGATACTAGTGATGAGAGCAGACCATTCACATTCCATCAGCCAATAGAACATCGAAATTTGCTATGATGCGCTAAACGTACTAGGAAAAAGAATTTAAGTAACAAGTAAAAAGAAAAAAAAAGAAAAAAGAAACTAAGCGCATTGACTTAAAATGCACGGTGATTAAGTTCTGTTTGTGAATGTACTAATTTGGTGGTACTGTTAAAGGTGTCTTGCGCCAATTGCAGCAGACGAAGTAAGTCAAAAATCGAAGAAGTTGATTGTACTCAAGAAGCTCGCCATCTTTTGGAGTTAATCGAGAAAAAGAGCTGCAATAAGCAGCACTCATTTATCACCCTACTGGTTCTTATTGATGTCTTCAAAGGGGCAAACAGTCGGAAAATCCGGTGTGACAATCTCACTTCAGAAGCAGCCTATGGACTGGCTAAACAGCGACTCGTCAGTATAGACAAGACTTTACCAGAGAAGCTCGTCAATAGACTCGTCATTGAAGGTAACCCAAGTTTTATATCTATGTATATTTTGGCTCCCTCAACTCTGCTTTATTCACATTTTTTCGCTTCTTTTTTTGAGAAACATCTTTATTGGATGCAATTAGGTAAATGCTCATTGTTACGTAGTAATGATGTAATGATACGCAGAAAAATCATAATTCAGTTACCGCTGTGTATTTAAAGATACATTTATCTACAAAATCAAAATTTCTCATATACAAAATCAGACTCATTTATGCTGCTTTTCAAGGTGATTTCTCTCCATAATTGGTAATTCATACAATTGAAACCCTTCAATACATTTAATACACATCTGCTTTTATCTTATGAACAAACACTTGTCAAGATCATGGTTACAATTTATTCGGCTTGTCGTTCCTTTTTAGGCTATCTGAAGCAGTTTGTAGTTGAAACAAAGCATGCGGATGCTGCGTACCTTGTCTTAGAAAATAAAGGCCGGGTGTTTCTGCGGCAAGCAGGCTCGAAGCTAACCGTGAAAATCCTGAAACCCAACAAAGCACTGGTGCCTTTAGACGTACCCCGGAAGCAAAATGCGCTTTCAGAAATGTCTGCCATCATCAAGAAAAAGTACGGTAGCACAAAGAAGAATCTATCTGCTCGTATCATAATTTGGATCTCTGTTGGCTTATGTGTAATACATTTTACTAAATATATTTGGGTCGATATCTACATCGGTGACTTATTAAATCTTAGTGGTTTCTTTCATCTAATATATTTCCAGATCAAATACCTTTGGAGCAATATTATTACTAGACTTCGTTATGTATAGTATAGATCTACAAATTACAGTTACATAGGTTGTAAGCTCGCTCTATTAAAGCCTGTTGACTTAATGTTATGGAATAATATGATGGAATGCTCGGTTTCCACACATGCGCAGTTATAGGCCAAGAGGTAGTTACTTTACAGATACACTATTATTTTAAATAATTTTAAATAATTTAAATAAATAATATACATCCTTCTTCAAATTGGTTAGGATAGTCAGGGTACGTATTGCTATATACAGAAACACGTTAAACTTCTTTTGATGCAAATTGAAGAGCGGATTTCGGCACAAGTCGGAGACGTTAGGAAGTTACTTTGGCGCTAATGTGCCGTCAAAAGCCAACAAAGGGACCTTTAGATACATTAACGGCCTATCCTACTTTCCGCAGCCAAAATACAATTAAAACCTATTTTTGCTTGCAGCTGTATGGACTGCCTTATCACGGAAGCGAAAGCAATTGGCCGGGAAAGAGGAATGTTCAACTATACACATCTTTTTTCTACTGAGGTGAGCGGGATGGGATTTATATAGCGATCTAGAGTATACAGAAATATTGCTTGTGTACTATAAGTGCAAATCGATATGAGCTTTTTAGATGTTCAATTTGAAGTAAAGTCATTCAAAAAATAAAGTCATTTGTAAAAAGGCAAACCAGCGGATTTCGAAATTAAATAACTTTTGAACTACGCGCCGCTAGCAGATGAAATTTTGCCTATACATACTCCAGTCTTCTATGCTTGTAGTTAAGTTTACTCTAGGAAGAAATTAGTTGAGAAAGAAAAACTTTTTTCTTTGTGTCGAGAAAGACGTTCAGTGGCTAAATCTTTATTCTTCAATGATCGCAGTGCTGCGGAAATATATATGAGGTTGATATGGTAAGAAGACTTCCCATAAAAGCAAGGCTTCAACTATAAAAACTCTGCTGGTCAAAACTGGCATTTCACATATAACGTGTTACAGAGTTATAACCCAAACGCTGAAAAGTGAGAAAAATGGGTCCCTGTGAATGGCTTCAGGCTAGTTGGAAACGCGTATCGTGTATTTTACGTACAGTTGGTGGAACTCTAATCTACAGAAAACCCGCCTTGAGTAGACGGCCACCATATACGAAGCACTGTTAAATCTCTGCCGCCATCCGGAGAGAGACAATGCGAGAGGATGTCGTGGTCCAAAAATAAAAACGAGCTCGGTTTTAGTGTTGAGTAAAGTCGGATATAAGGTGATAGTAGTACTTACAATGCGCATTAGGGATACCTGCTATTACGAAATCTCGCCGAAAATGAAGCAATCAATTCAGCTCGCTATCTCTAGTTCCTCAAAAAACTTATGAACTGTTGGCACCACAGTCGAAAGCGCTGAATCTGGTTATTTGACAATAACGCTAGACCTAACATCCATCTCTTAATTACTTTCTTGATTGAGCAAAGGAATATCTAACCTTGGCTTCAATCCAATTGATTCTTTCAATCTAAGTTTCCACAGTTACTGGATTTTTCAAGCCCAAAAAAGAGCATTTAAATGGGCAAGCTTACCTCACAATCGATTTTATTAAAATTACTTTTTTATTAAAATTTTAAAAATTATAAAAAAATGTTAAAATTGCATACAAAAACGCGAGATGTAGGTATATAGCTGTCCAGAAGTTGCCAGGGCGCTAGAATAAGTACGTAAAAAACAAAGGAAAATAGTTCTAACACATATTAAAATAATTATCATTTCAGCCCAAATAGTTCAAAAGTGCTTGTGAAGTCCAAGAAGACTTGTAACAGCCTAATGTAACGGTTTAGCAGTAAAACTAACTCATTAAAGTAACTAGCAAATTGACCTAAGCCATATGAAGCCTTCCATGATGAAGTACGTTCAATCCAACCTTGCATTTTGCTCTAAGAGCTATCCGCGTACTTCTTCTGATGCTGTTCTTCTCTGACTCCTTCCTTCTTTTTATCTGCTGTTACTAAAATGTACAGCATATTAGTATACGCATGTATCTTTTATTATTCAATTATTTTCGTGAATTACGCTTTTATTTTTAGTGAGATTTCTTTGTTCTATCGCTATATTGCTAACTTTGTTTCTTAATAATTGTGCAGAATCTTCGGCTGCTCTCGGAAGTTTTGCCGCGCGACTTGGAGACTGCTCGTCGTCATGTGTCACTATCAGAAGTATTATGGAGAGATTATGGCGAGCGTCTCCTTAAAATTACTCGCAGGTACGTAGAGAAATTTTCCCAAAACTGTGAGTAGATTTATACTAATTGTTGATTCTTTAGGCGAAAGAATTACAGATTATATAAGGGAAACGTAAAAACGACCGGAGCCACGTACTTTGCATTTTCCCGTGTTTCTTAGTTTTATTAACAGACTGTACATAATGGTCCTCACACTATATAATGTCTAGACCAGTGTATTTCATAGTCATTGTTTTTAGTTAATAATTTTATAATTGCAGAGCATCATGGAAGGAGCGTATCTCTTATATATGAACAGCTCTTTTAGTGAATAAAATATATTATGGCATTACTTCCTTCTTAAAGACGTTCTAAAAGCACAAACGGGTTGCCATCCGATAAAACATAAGCGTGTGTGTGTGTGCAGTACAGACGTTTCTTTTTAAACATATAGCTGTGGGTTAATGTAGAGATCAATAATGATCATTTTCATTACAAAACGTAGCATTAATATGAAAACGCCGTCGACATCGTTTTTTTTTCAGCTTTTCTGCCAAGCTAGAAATAGCCGACCTAGATTTTTCGACAGACGACGATGAGAAAGACACAGGCGTAGGAAACGACACCTGGGACGGGCCCCCTCCCGAAGGGGCTATGACGAACAACCCTACCTGGAGTGGGCGTTCTTTCAGCCGAGGCGATCGCAGTCGTCAGGGTGGACGTTTGTATAAAACGTACAAAAGCCGACTTGCGAAAGGAACCAAACAAGGCTCATTATTGTCAACGCATGCCAGAGCAAAGAGAAGAGGTCAAGTAAAAAAACAAAAAGCGAAACTTAATTCTGACGGTGTAGATATGACCAACGTGCGAACAGGAAATCCACTCTCTGGCGTTAGATTGATGAATGTTCCCGGCAATCGTCCTTGGAGTTGATGTTTAATGATTGACAATTACTAGTACGATACCCGCTCAAAGCAATACGCGATTCTCTAATGTTGTAAGGTCCTTCAAGTTGTCCTAAAACTCGCTAGATAGAACAGCCATTATTGCTAGCGTATGTGATCGCATTTACATCCCTTAAAAATGATAGATTCGCATCGATTTTATAGTGTGTTTCATTTTTCAGAAATTGAAATGCTAAAAATGATCTCTCATATGATGCGAGCAACTAGAAAAGAGGGATTTATAATATACTTATGTTTACATCCACTGGTCGTTTATGGCCTTAGTTGTTAATGCTATGCGGATCAGTAGATATCGGAATGTTGATAGAACAGTTGGTTAGATGTGGCAAACAGTTATTATAATTAATTGACTAATAGATTATGACCCTTACGGTCATACTAAGCGAAAATACTTAAGTCTAGAAAAATCAAAAATGCAAGTAATCGAGGAATATATCAAGGCCTACCTAACGTGATGTGTTTCCGGGATATGACCAATATCAATCAAAATTATTTTAGTTCTTGTTAATTTGTTGTGATATAATTGTGTTTCGCGTAATGCATCTAGGATGTTCCGTGAAACACAGTAGCATAGATTTTGTAATCTGTAAAAATGTAAATACATGCAATTTAGATACAGCTTAGATACAGAAGGTTGTTTATTTCATTAGTAACAAACTGTAATGGAGTATGCGTACCTTAGAAAATAATACTGTAGCACTCGAAACGTCGTCAGAGATAACGGAACAATCCTTACGGCAATAGTAAGTGTTTATCATCATAGGTGAATCAGGGACGTATTTATGTACCTACACCATTCGTCCTATAGTGAGAGGAACTCTCTCACTATCAGCCTTTTGAACACTACTAGATCAAAAAGTAGGCGATTTGGTTCTACAGAGCCTGGACATGTGGTTATTATGGCAGGCCTTGTCGTTTTACATGCATTTGCTGAATGCCGACGTTTTGGAAAAGAACAACGCTTCACGGAGCTATATTAAGGCACCATAGGCGTTAGGCTTTGCGCAAAAAAGGACGACACAAATAACGGCGCTTGACTCAGTGCATTTTCGTGGTTAAGAACCTATGACTTGGTCTCTTAATGTTCAGGCTTGATTTCGCAAATAAGTTCAGGTAATATTTTCTAATGGCAATAACACCACTCTCTCCTCTCACCTTCTTAACTATCGCAAAACGTAGTGAGGCCTTGTCTTTGATTTGGTTGTTGCAGTTTTCTGCGGTCAGGGCTCGCTTGTGAAGCAATAATCAGACAGTTATTCCCACTTCAGCCATATACATCATGTCGGCTGTTGCAACAAATTCTGCAGATCCACCAGTGCTCTAATCTAAGTGATTAGACGCTGGACCTAGATACATCTAAGTAGAGAAGCGTACATAACAAGTTGGTTCTCAAGTGACTTGCCGCCTTGTCGTCTTTATTTATAAACATCATCACCTCTATCATAAAAGTATATAAACATATTTTTTAATTAGCATCTGCGTTCTGCATATCGTTTTAGTCCGAAATTGAATCGTAAGATATCGCTGCGGGCGTTACGGACGTTATCTAGGAGGTGGCCCATGGCATAATCGAGGTTATTCCAGTCTTCTTACTCAAATCCGTAAAAGGCAGAGTCACATTGCGGAGTGGCAACCCCGATATGAAGCGCTATATGCGATGTTCCTTTCCGTCGGTTATCGGTTAGTTCTCCAACGCACTGATGAAACGGCTTGGTAACAATGTTCATTGCGACCATTCGCTAACGATGTCTGCAAGATCATGGCTACCCAAAATCGAAGGGGTACGCATTAGTTATCCAAATCATGCCGCCTCCATTTCCAATGTTTCATAATTCCGAAATTAGTGAGGGATATTCAGTTTCTATACCGCTTATGCAACGGGCCTTCAAAAGCGAAACTATCGTAATGACAATGCGATACTTGTAATATACCCTAACCGAGTACCACTAATTGAATTTTATTAAAATGGAAGGACCGAGACATCCACATGGAGCAAGACCAACAGACAGGGTATGAGTTGCAACGCATTTGTAAGCAAGCTCATGAGTATTAGTACTACAAAAACTACTACAAAACGGTACGTCGTATAGGAGAGCGCTGTTGTTAAGCTTTAAACACAATGAACAGTTGACTAGGAAGCTGGAAAATCTACCGCTGGCAACCAATATGCATGTGCGCTTTTCAAGTCCAGCGCGGATCCCACAAAATCATAAAGATCTGCGTCATGAGCCTAGAGCTTTTCGCGCGTGAAACGGTGCAAACATACAAACGGAACGATAGTAACAGAGAAAATTGCACTCAGACTACGGTGCATAGATTTAACCATAAGCTTTGGTTCATAATTTGATGACAAACCGGAAAATGTGTATGCAAAAGATGTGAATAATTGCTCTCGGTTATCAAAGTTCCGTGTCAGAACTAACAAATACGGAGCAATATAGACTTTGCTATATGTGTACGTGCATGACGATTATTCTGTACTATGCCGATGTAGCGCGCTGTCCATTGTAGTGTATCACTTTGCTGTATCATATTTTTCTGAGAAGACGAATGGTTTTGCTATAAATAACATATATTAGAATTAACTATACTTAGAAACAAACATACTAATTGTTGTGCTCTTGGTGTTTCATTTATGTTTCATCATTAATTCATGTTTGTTTCATTTTCTTTAATTTCTTCCTGTTCTGATTTTGGCCACTCGCATATACAACTATACTGTCATGTATTCCCTTTTTTTGAATTTTCGTTTACGTATAGTTGTGTTAACAATGTGTCAATGAAAGTTTTTTTTCATTTGAATTACTAATGGTACCCTTTGGGGAGATAGTTTTAATTTTTTTGGACTTTTATTTATTTTTAAACACCTGAGCGCTTATAGGAAGGAATACTTAGGATTGCGCCCGCCATACAAACTGGGGTCGAAGATTGTTAATGGGGCAGGTCAATCGATGTGCAGTCGAGTTAATCTAGATTGTTTACTGTGGATTCGAAAGGCATGGCACACATAGCCCTGTCTTCTGCTCTTGCGCATTATTACACTTCGACCACCCTCACTCAATAGACTTCAACGACCAGGTGCAAACGGTTCCAAGTTACAGTGATAATTTCAGTATACGACTTAACGTAGCTAGCGGTAAACTTGCCTCTACCTTGTCGTTATTGGTGCCCGAAAATAAAAAAGACCAATTCGTTTGGAGACAATACTCCGCACCTATTTTAAGTGAAATTTTCAGATAATGAAATTTCTTCTGGAATATATATTGTATGCCTTAAAAGGTATCTATCTAGAGAAATAACAATAATAATACTTAAACGGCATAACTAATATGTGGTTGTGAGCTTTACTGTAGTTAACATGTCATTCAAAGCTCATCTAAAACTTGAAGCATACTAAATGACAAGTCAACATGCCGAAAGTAATTTTTCGCTACTCATAAGCATATGGCTAATTACAAGAAAACTTTCTGTTTCAAAGAAATATGATGTTATATTGCGGAACTCGAGTAAGCAATCTTTGCCTTTGAGAATAGTGCATGCTATAATATTATGTAATCAAATATATGTAAGGTAATGTTATGGTATAGTGTAGGTCGCATTAGTTTTCAATCAACATCTTAACTCTTTTAAATTCAGAAAATCGATGCACTCTGTAATACTTCTTGGTTACTTTGTAATTTGTTTTTATATGCATGGTTGGAAGTAAAGTTTACTAACTGGGTACTCCGATATATGCTTGCCTTCTATCTAACCTAAGGCTTAAGGATTCCTGATGCACTATCCGTACGAAGTATGACTTCGATGGTTATGACCAACATCTTGGGCAGTTTTATGGACTCTCTGTGAGTTTCTAGTAGAAGCGGGCGCAATGTTCCCCCCCTTTTTTGCAAAAAAGAACAGCAGTGAGCAGGGTAATTTGGTGATTCAATAGATTTAGTAAGATGCAGCGATATTAAAGCGTATTTGAATGGCAGAAAACTTTGCCGGTAGATAGAGATATAAAATAGTAACTATTTGTCGTGTTCGGATCGGACGTTGCCCCAAAATATGAAACACAATTACTACATTAGCTCCTCTATGTGACGTTGTTTCTCGTACCAGATATAGTAACTCAACTCGTTTTTTTTTTAAAAATAGAGCCATATTAACTTTTGTATACCATGATACGTTTCGTATATCGTTCGATTTGATTATGGCTACACAATGAATGACCTTGGAATCTGCCCTTTGATTTGATTCAAGAAGTCCTCTATTTGATTTTTGAGAAATATTTCATTTGTTTTTAAAAATGTTTTTAGTTGGGGAAAGTGTTTGTTGCCGTTTATCAGCAGTGTATGAAACTATTTTGTCACACAGATTGCATATATATATATATATATATACATATATATATATATACATATATATATATAAATGATAGAATAAACATTAAGCCTAACATTTTTTCATAATTTGTGGTCAAAACTTTTTCTTCGTTTATTTTGAACATTCTTCTCCTCGTAAAATAGTTATGATGCATAGCGCGGGGTGATAATACAACCATATATCTTAATTATTGCGTTATTTTCATTGATGGCAATTGCAGGATGAAAGAGCTGGAACATATACTTTGCGCAGATTACGCCATTCGGCGAACCGTATTTTATGAGTACTCGAGGCCATGAGGTAGCTCGAATTAGGTGCCTTTCGCTTCGCCGGCTAGTTCCCTTTCCACAGCCAACCCTAGATCCCAACTCAAAGCAATACTGCTTTGCTGTGACTAATAGTACCGTTTACAACTCTCCTTTAAGGAAGCTCAAAATCCGAAAATGATTTCACAGTAATTCCTACATCCCAGATCCTTAACCTCTAAAAAGGCAGAGCTTTCGGCGTTACTATGCTTTCATAGACCCCCTTAATATTTCATTTTCCTATTTTCATTTGACGGGACAATTATGATCGCCATGGCTTGACTTAATCAGTGTTGACATTTGTTGCAACGTCGTCTGCTCCAGACCAACCCCCTAGATCTACACCCGCCTTCAATTGCCCTTTGTGTACATCCACCTTCAATTAAGCCCCACTACAAGCCTTTTACCTCAAACGCGTAACGCGGTTTTTTTTATGCGTACTTAGTGTACGAACAGAGAAGCAGAGTTGCAACGTGACTATAACATTGGTCACAGATACCATATTTTTAATATTCCTCTGTAACATATCTTTTCATTCTAGGCAAATTTCATACTGCTCAGACCTTTTCTATCCTGCTATTATCCCTCACACCGCTAATCAGCGCATAAGTGTTTCTACTAAAAGGTAGACGATTATTGGGCTTGCGGGCCGTCTTTCGCTTTTCTTGGACGAGCTTCTTTTAGGAAGCCAATTCAGGCACTGTGCGCCACGATAACCGCACTCCATATACAGCCAGGCTTTCGCAAGCTTATATACAGTTTACCCTCCTGCCCAACATAAGCAACCGTTACCTCATCCAGGAAGGGCCTACAAAGACAGCGTTAGGTCAGCGGAGTGCAACGGACCGCGAAGCTACGAGACGAGAGTGTCGCTGCCCAAATGTACTCTACATACCTACCAACTGCACTGTTAAATGGCCACCAGCGTCCAACTAGCGCATAATAACGTGAGCAGGTCTTTATTCGGGTAAACCTGGGGTCAACTACTCCCGCTGCCTGGTAGCCCCTGGAGGCTACACGAAATATATGTTGGTGCAGTGAAGATAGCCCCGACTGTTTCAATGTAGGTTGTTCGTCTATGCCTATGCACTTCAGCAAGAAATTCACACCATTTTCGTCATTGTGATCTATTGGTTACGTATTTTTGTAACGATTTCTGTGTTGTAATAGTGCTACGACTGCTGTGTTAACACGAGAACGAAATTCCCTAAAAGTAAGCAAAAATAAGAGCAAGTTTTCTGTGACACGTGTGTATAGCTCCAACGCTAATAGAAAAGGAAATATCATAAAACGTAGTTTTTTTTTTGTTATTGCGAATTTTGTCTGTAATACGAGTGAAGAGCTAATGTAGTAAATAGACGAGTTATAGTATAACGCCTATGTCAAAACAGTTTTACGTTAATGTCATTAGTCTGACTCGTTCGAATTGTCTAAAAAACCTAAAAATATGTTGAAGTAAAAAAGTATAATTTTTCAGACGAGGTGCATAATTTTATTTCATTGCTTTCAAAATCCTTAACTAAACGCTTTTCAGAGCCAGCGGGACATCACTAAATAATTAAATTAATGAACCACGATATTCGAAAGGAAACAACACACGATGAATATAGTAGCGAGGCGTTGTGGTCATTTTATTTTGCAATTTTTGTATTTGGTTCTCCTTTTTGAATAAGCGATTCCATTGTGCTCGGGGGAAAAGTGCAATCAGCGCCCGGGTAAGCTGACTTTAATAGCAGTCCGCCGGGGAGAATGTCTCGCATCGAGCTACTTACGGTGATGAAGACTTCAGTCCTCTGCAGGAAACAAACGTACGGCTCAACCGTTGCGACGACCCTTCTCATGGGCTACACAGAGGGGAAACGTAGTTTTCGTACTTAGAACTTTGGCAAACTGGGTCAGCTACACGTGATTTGCGTGTTTTCAAGTCTGTATTCAAGCAAGATTTTATATACAAGCCAAAAGCCCTAAAAATGTAAGGGCTCGAGGCGGTCGAAAGGTTCAAAAGTCGTAAAAGTCTTAACAAGATTAGCCATTAAAGCACAATTGTCAAATAATATTCTTCTTTCTAAAGGGGCAGTTAAAAACTCGTGTATCATGCTAAAAATGGCTTTTCGAACCACTTTTGCTCAAAGACAAGGTGTTGTTTACCATGACAAGCTTTGTGTTTTAGAAGGAATTGGTTTTCGTCCAATACCGGGAGTAAAGTATGGACGCACGCCCGTTGGGACGCACGTTGGGAATTCCAACAAACCACTCTGTACATGTATGTAGCTTTGCTAAGATGGATTTGATTGCAATACTGTTCAATTACGAAATTCGAAAAATTGCTCATCAGCATTCTGAAATAAATGGAGCACGCCTCCTCTGACCCACAAAATCAAGCGATAGTCGCTTTGTATTATCTAAATTTAATAATTTTTCTTTGTATTAATTGACAATTAGACAGCCAACAAAGCCCCCATTCGTCGTACCTCATCGTGTTACGTTATATTCACTTGTCACATGTCGTTGAAATATAGCTAGCGTCAACTTAACTATTAAAAGTATCTTCTAAAACTGGCCAATCTGTTGTTACATTAAAAAAATCAGTCTGTAATCTTATTTTATTATTTATTTATTTATTATTATTTATTTAAAAACCAGATTATTTCTCCGTAATAATTATTTTCATGATGTACCTGCCCCCGGAAAAGCCAAGAGTTAATGTTTTATATAATGAAAATCTGGATCTGGTTGACGCAGACATTCATTTAGCGACTCGATTTTAACAAAAAATCGAAAACATTTTGGCATCTATTGACTTGAGAGCCTCATGTGCTTACAAGTGCAGATATGTTCTTTCCTTGCAAATGGTGTCCTTGTGAATTACAATACTTTCTGGGCCCGATTCACTCAATGCATGCGTTTGCGGATTCGTTCTACCAACTGTGACCGCCTCTTGTTTGCTAGGTAAATCGTTATGCATTAGTTGGCAGATTTATCGCAACTTGGATCATGACAATAGCAGTAGACGCTGCTGTAATTAAGAATGCAGAGGTTCTCAGTTAAATTTATGTTGGAATAATTTCCTATGTATTTAATCTAACCGCTACTATTTTTATTTAGGTCGTTCCTCTTTCCTCATTTTAGTGGTTGATTCTCTGTCTTTGTGTCCTCGTATGGTTCCCCAAAGTCTACGACTTTGAGAAATCCAATAACTAAAAATATTTGCCATCTGCCAGCTACAAAACATGCCCGTAACCTTTCTTTTGCGTTTTACGTTCATTATTTAAATCATTTGAAGTCGAACGTATACCACCATGTGTTATTCACTTTAAACGTGAATTTTAAACGTGAACCTTAAACATGCTACCCACCATGTTATCACGGAGACAAATGCCAATAATTTCTATCTCATTCGACATTATCGTTCGGCGTTCCATGAGACGACTGGCTCCGAAACGAAATGTGTCTATGCACAGATTTGAACCCATGTCATAACGTGTATTTAAGATTAGCAGGCAAATATGCTGCCCACTAAGCCATCATGACGACATTGTTCCAGTACGATGATCGTGCCAGGTACGTGATCTAGGCCTTGATTAAACATTATTGACCCGTGGTCGCAGCAGTTCTGTGGCAGAAGTAGTTGGGAGAGCGTCAAACCCCACTGAACTCGAAGATGGCCCTCGACCACTAAGTTGAATACACGCACACCCAGACACACGCCCACGCAAATACGAACTTTGGTCCTCGAAGGGTTATATACAATCGAAGCAGAATGTCCTCTCCCGAGAAAAGAACAACACGTAAGTGCCTAACAAAGATGCTAAATTGGAGTTGCCCTGTTCTAGTAATTACCTTTGTTACGTGCAAATTTATAAAATTCTACCCTTGCAAAAGCAACTGTCGTCGTGAAATTCATTTCCAACGCTGAGTTATCATGCTGGTTAGTAATGACGACGTTTTAAAAAATAAGGTATCTTATGTATTGTACGTATGTAATATATTCATACAAAATCGAAAAGCGCACCAACTTACATTTGCAGGCCAATGGTCTGTTCGTCATGCTAACGAAAAATTCTTAGTTCTTCTTAAGAACACTTAAGGAGAAAATTTGTGTGCATCAGCTAAGTAAAAGGACAACTTCACAATGCATTCATGTATACTTCTTGCATGTGAGAAACGGGGTTTAAGAACCTGCGAGGTACGAACTAGTTACATGACTACAGTCAAGTCAGAAACGGTATCTAGCAATAATTTTTTCGACAAGTGAAGTTTTGCTCCAATCTATCATCGCAAACCTCGTCCAGAGCAGCCTCTTACAACACTATCAAAATATGTGTCAAGAAAAGTAAACCGCGTTAGAACTTTTCTAAGAGATAAAATTTCCTCGTATAGGTTGTCTCTGTGGGCCAATTCGTTGTCGTTCAAAAGGGAATAAAGCATGGTAGCTTTGTCACGCACCGTTCCCCGCTCACTACTGGCGAATCAATGCATTGAAGCCTCGAAGTTCTTCATAATTTTACATATAACCAATTTCGTTGTAATTAATATCACTGTGCAACTCTCCTTATTATAACTGTTTTTACAGATGCACCCGCTAATGTGGTTATGGGAACTTACGCCACCTCAAGATCCCCGGACCAAGGTGTGCGAATAGCATATGATAAAGAAATCCTCAGAAATGTAAATTAATGAAGTTATTAGAATAGCGCAGTCATTCCCGTTTAGATTCAAATGAGCTTTTATTATTTCGCTGATACGTGACCAGCGGTTGAAATGTCGCTATTAAATTATAAGTGGTCATGATAAATATACATAAACAATGTTACACTCAGTCTCAACAATGAAAAAAATGCATTGGAAAATGGGACTTTTTTTAATGGAAAATGGGGCTTTTTTTTTTTATAAGTTGTGTAAAGTGCTTGATCTTCTTCGAATGACTATTGACGTCAACAAAGAATAGGACGGATGTGTATTAAAAAAAAGGTCTATTTCTTTCGAAGGGTTGGCTGTTGGTGGATACCTGGGTTCCTGCCTTAATATTGTGCTCGGCTTACGTGTCTACCGTGAAGGTCTTTTTACCACGTTACATGAAAGACAGACCACCATTAGATATCATGTCGTTCATTCGGGCCTTCAATTTATTTCAAGTGCTCGCCAACTTCTGGTTTGCAATTCAAGTAGGAAGGAGGCAAGTAACTAACGCTTCATTCTGCGTTGCTGATTCGAGTAATATGCCCCTAAAATATATATATAGTACTGCAGACATGAATAGCACACATAAATAGACACCTAAAGGGTGACTTTGTACCTTACAACTCATTATTCTAATAACGTATAATTGTTCAATTTTTTTACTGTAGAGTGTCCAGGTGATCAAAATGAAAGGACGTCAGATATTAGTTATTATCTTATATACTTCACCGTATAACTCTAAGATCCCAAATTACCATAAAAATGACCTTCTATGCTGAGTATTCGACGTTGTGGAATAACTGGAAGAAACGATAAACATTTGTATGCTTTAACGGTGAAATTGCCTTCGGGGTAGGCTGTTTTATTGGATAGGAAGTCATCCAGTCTGCTGATGGTATATATGTATTGACTAAATAATATTTCTCTTTGTTTGCCTATAGAACATACTTCGGAGGCAGTTTCAGTTGGTTGTGCCAGGGCGTTATGGGTCGAGATGATCCCGTTACGTTGGATCTTTTGAGACTTCTCTATGTATATATCTGGGTCCGGGTGGTCGATTTGCTGGATACTGTCTTTTTCGGCTTACGGCACAAATGGACGCATGTATCGACGTTAAACGTGTCACATCATTGCATTGTACTATTGTTCGGAGTCTATGGCGTTCGGCACGGAGCGGACTCCCATATGACACTCGTCGTTCTTGTCAATCAGTGCGTGCATGTGATCATGTTTACGTATTATTTCTTTGCATCCTTCGGTGATCGCTTCCGAAAGTACCTCACTTGGAAACGGTTAGTTCAGCATTACAGCCAGCAAACAGATGTATCATCAATAGATAAATAAATGCACTATTTTATTTCAACACGCATAGAAGTTGCAGTGGATCCACAAAAAAAAAAGACTATCATATGAATTTGTACTTTATTTTTAGTACCAGCGGGTTAATCCAGAGATGTTGGCGTGCGCCTTATTACAGTATGCAGCAAGTATTTAACTAACTATTCTGCTTAGTCATAGTTACACTGCACGATTTAGTAAGTTAGAAAATGGTACAAACGTGTTTTCTTAGTTTTTCATGTTTGATTTTCATCCTAGTTTTTTACTGGCTTTATTGCACTTACAGTTACCTGACGGGCATCCAGTTAGCACAGTTTTTTGTGCTCGGGGTCCACTCTGTTCTACCGTTAGTGTTTCCCTGTCCTGGACTTCCTGCAATGCATTCGATTGTGGCCATCTCGTCGATGACCTTTTTCTTCATCATGTTTGCGCGCTTCTATGTACAAACTTATGGCGGCGTTAAGCAAGAGTTGTCCAAAATACCCGTTTCATTTGGTTGTAAACTACTGGTTGAAAACAAGTCACTGTGAATTACATTTGTTCAGTAGCTCTTCTTCACCTCGAATGAAAATGATTTCATCACGATGGTAAACATTTTCCAAAAGAAGTCCCAAACAAAATGTAAAACATTAGCATAAAGCTATAAGCTCAGTCGTCCCAAAATTTATGTGAAGAAACCCTCTTGGAACATGAGTTGTACGACATTGAAATGTACAGAAATCGAAACATTAGATAAACGATTTCTTCCTTTAACGGAGAGTTGCACAATGTGCAACGGTTACTACTTAAAACTATAGTGTGACACCGTTGCCGTGAAAAATCGAAGTATGTTGTGCCCTTAAGTTTCAAACAGTAACAACGCTCGCTGGACATATGGAATATACACATACAACATGCGGACACTCCACTGAAACTGTGACCGCGTCCTTCATAGCAACGGGCATTTCAAGTACACGCCATTGAGGAGAACGACAGACAGGAGTGAAGTGATGGTCAAGATGGAGAACTTTGTTTGTTGGAACGACTCCTTTTTGGTATGGCCACGTCGTACCTGAAAGCCGAATAGGGAGGGTGCGAGCAACAAAACGAGTCGACTTAGAGACAATGGTGGAACCGCTGGAAATGTGTGAATGCTCATTTATACAGCCTGTCCAGCGTTTCGGTAAACGTACGATTATTATATTGAGACTATCTAAAAACAACGAATATAAAACAGTCGGGTTATTAACTCAATGACAACATGAAGTTATGGTATTAGTAACTATTAATATAATAACAATTAAAAACTATATGTATATTATGCATAGAAGATTGGAAAAAAATGCAGTGGCTTTCGGTATAATGAGCAATAAGGTACCACGAAAACAGATTGTTAAAAACGTACACATGCATATAGAAATAATAAGGAATAGATATACTCGTTATTTATAACTACTAACTACAGAATATTTTGTTACTACCGTATTTCTATGAAGTCTCAATAATTTATCCAGTGGAACGCTATATGTGATACAGAATGATTTGTTATTACAGTACAGTTAATCGATTAAACGTATTAACTTATAATTTATAGTATTGTTATAAGCGCATGTAAGCTGCGCGCTCTAAATTTGCAATATCACACATCTATCGTTGTTATACGACGGACTAATTTTCAACGGCAATTGAATGCTTTTTTCAAATGAGCGATTTCCTACTAAATACTCTATAATCTCTATGACACCATCTATTTTGGGTAAAATAAATGCTTTTTTATTTTGCAGTTTAATAAACATTCTTGCTAGTGTTATGGCCAATTTATTCAAAAAAAAAAAAAATATTATACATTTATAAAAGGTGTGATCCTCTACCTACGGTAACACTGATTCTGGTATGGAACTTCGACCGTGAATTTGTTTACAACATATATTATGTCCATAGACTAATATATATATATATATATATAAACCCTAGTAAAACCTTTTACACTATAGCTTTAAACACAGTTTAATAAAGATTTAAAACATTTTTTTAAACGTTTTATTAAAATTATATTGTGACGAAAATTGTTACTGTTGTAAAGGCTTATCAATATTCGTTGATAACCGAATAACCTAAAATGTATTGATTAACTACTCTGTGCTATTTGCTGGCCACGATGGCCTAATGATCAATATAGATTGCTTTTATCTACTTAAATGTTTGCCACATAATTTAACATCCAGTTGAAAACTTAAACTCTCCGCGCCATTATTACTTTAGCATCTATTTTGGTTGGTTTAAAAGCTTCAACTAAAATAGACTGGATGTATTTAGGTCATGGATGAATACGAGCCATCAAAATGAAGGTGGGTTGTCGTATTGGTCAGGTGAAGCTCGTCTGCGCCCTTGGACTATAATTAGACGTGTCAGAAAATATTCATGACGAGCATCGGGATCAACCCTGGTGATAACCTTTGCAGGCGTATACAAAGTGGCTATCCGACCCAGAAGCTTAACCGGCAGTACATCCAGCGTGAACTAGTTGATCTTTCATACTATTTTATGTAGATACTTCTCTTACAATACGGAAAACATTTACAGTTAAAATGTGTATTTTATAGAAAATATGAATTTATATTCATTTATACCTGAAGTATGTATGCTTTGACTAACCTTTATATTATCAGCTCGCTGCATATTAAATCGTAATAGGCGTTCCCTGAATAAAATCTCGTGGTATCCGAAATAAACCCACCTCAAAGGATGATTTGGAGCAACTATTCAGGCCAAACCAAAAATATTATCATTGTTTACGATGACTATAGGAGTAAGAGCTTCTTTTAATAGAGAAGTAACTCCGATTCACACGTCGGACTTATAGCGATACCCTTGAATAGATATTACGTGATAATTAGGTAGAGCTTTTAGGTTGTATGTTACAACGTCTGAATTTTCTGTCTCAATGGAAAATTGTCACGTTAATACATTTCAACAACTTAAGAAGCATCCTAAGTAGCATCATTATCATCTAATATATAAGAAAAAGCGCTCAACTTATTTGTCATAAACGACGAGCAATCACGAAATCCGGTAAATGCTCAAGGATGGTCCAGTGTAAGAGAACAACATCTCAAGACAGTCCTCCCAAGACGCCTGTATTTAATTATATTCGACCTATAGAAAGCTTTTAATAATGATCGGCAATCGGCACAGCTTCCCGCAATAAAAATCATTCATTTCAAAGGGAAGGAGATGTATACAGTAGTATATATAGGTGTGTACAATAATACATTGCCATAGGAAACGTTTCGGTAATTAATTTGAATCAAATTCACCTTCAATCCATACCTTTTGTGATATATTAAGCATTCTGTTTTTTATGTAAAATTCTGACTCCGGCAACAAGGTATGTTATGTGTGATTGAAAATGGCTGGTATCACTTAAAAAACAATGAGAGTCAATTTCAGCAGTAGCAACGATGATCCACGAAGCGTCTGAAGTGGGAGACATTTATTCGGTTCGACGGATACTAATGGTACGTAAAGAATACTAAGAATAAGTAAAACTTATTCTGAATTGATCTTATGATTGCATTTCAAATTACATCATACACTTCTGCTTGAATTAACTGGCCTAACTGAACTAACGTTTATTCAGATAATTATATTTATATGTAATATTTTATGACGTCTTGTACCCATAGCGTTTGCCTGGTTTCACCACAAAATTATTGTTGTCGTTTCAGCCCAATTTGAAAATATTTTTTAAAAAAAAAAAAAAAAAAGATTTCTCTGCATGGGATCCAACGTAACGAGTCAAATCAACGTATTAAATTGTACGAATGAAGAAAACTTCAAATGCAATCACATTATGTACCTTCTATAAAGTAGAATTAACAAACATTGTAAATACTAAAGATTGCATTACTAAGTCTATCTATTGTACTTAAATATCAAATAATAGTAATAATATCGGTATCTAATTATTGAATACAAAATCTGTGGCTTTGAAGAGAAAGAAGGCGAACGTTCAGTGAATATATGTTGTGATATTAGCTTTTAACACTTAACAAGTGCAGCTGTGTTTCACTGTCATGAAATGTTTGAATCAAATGAAACTTTTCAAATCGACAAACAAAAACAATCATCTGTCATTAACGCCTTCGGACATTTCTTGGAGAATGTTCATCGCCTAGCAGCTTCGTGATCATCTCGTATGTGAAATAAAAAAATGGCCTTTTCTCATCTCTTAGAGTCCCTCACAACTTCGCAAACGACATCGATAAAGTTAGCAACACGATTTGGCCTCCGTATCAAGAAAACCTAAATGCAATCTTTCTGTGCGAAAAAATCAAGTTTATGTCATACGTCAGACTAAACATATCTAATTGGAATCTACGTGCGCGCTAAATTTCCTAACTAATTTAAAAGATTTGAAAAAAGATAAGCAAGACGTAAATACACAAAAATTAGGCAGAAATAGGTCTCGAATTGACTGAAAGTAGGTTCAGTACTTAAACACCTGCTCCTTCAACTTTAAACCCACCTTCTCCTACCCAAAAGCTTATCTTCCCAACTGTATTATTTCATGTCGTTGTCAGATTATTTGGATACATTGTACACGTGCATCAAAACGTAAAGCTACAAGATTACGTGGGGCTTCTCCGTAGATGCCGAGTTATGGAAGATCTATGGAAAAGTCCGAAGTGCGCTTCACGCAGTGGTGTAAATAATTAAAAACGTTCCGCAGAAAAAAGAAGAAGATTAACAGAACTGGTTTGCTACTTACTAGACTGGAAGCGGATACATCGCAGAAGAAAGGCTAGCATCGAGAACTTTTAAACTCCAAATATAGCAACAATAACTTCATTAGTTATTTTCTTGTTCCAGCAATTGCGCCAAAACTTATCAAGATTTAACTATAACTACTTAGACACCGTATTTGTAGCTAGAATATAATTGAATTGAGTTCATATCTAAAGCAGAAAGACAATAATTTAGCATTATTTTCTTTTGAAAGATCAGCGAGACATATCATTCTTCAAGTATGCATTGCATATATCAATTAGGCTATTAACGCTTTGTTTTCATACAAGTTTGTTTTATGTAGCTCGAGCAGTATCCGGAGATCATTTGGAATTCAAAGTTAACATCCATGTATGTTGATTACTGCAGTACATCTGATTACGGCATGTACGTTTACGTACACAGGCTGACACACGGGCAACGGTGATCCTCACAAACATGCAATGCAACCTAAATAGAATGCATACTAATCCTCTAGTTTAGGCTTTGCTTACGGAACATGGAATGTTAGACAGCCAATAATTGGTTTTAAGTATCATTAGTATTCTACAGAACGATACAATTCAGGTTTAGCTATGAGATTTTATGTACAGTCGCCTTTCTGCTAACTCAACGATTAGTAGCATACCGTTTATTCTGTTTTGAGTTTCAAACGAGTACGAGTTTCGTACGAGTTTATGAGTAATTTCTTAGTAATTTACAGATTTCAAGATTAGCAGGCCTATATAGTACTGATTATAAACAATACAACGAACATGCGCCGTGAAGAGTTAATGCTATTAAGATTACTTACAACTACTGTGATTAGGATTAGGGTTATAAGGGAATTAACAGAGCTCTACCTACACGCGCGCTAGGCCAATAAATATAGTAGCTAAATACCACAGAAAATGTTCGCAGATTATCCAGGCGCCGGCCGAGTTATTATGTCTCGTGTCTCGAAACTGACCTTAGCTATATTTTTTCATGTTTGGATTGACCGCTAAATTGAACAGCAGGACAATAGTTTTAGGAAAGTATTTTCAGATTTTTTCAGTAAGAAAATAGATATGTCGTATTAGCATTGTAAATATTAGCGCGTAGAAAAGAAGAAACGCTCTACTCTAAAATGGAGTGAGTTTTTGAGCATGTGTCTGGTACAGGCAAAATATGGCCTGGACTGGAAAATATGGACACAGGGAAGGCATCGTAAGTTACAAATCGCGTTTAGTAGAACAACTTATTTGGAATACAAGTAACACTTATTTGGCTGATACCCAACCTGGCAGATCGCATAGACCGCTTAGTCGAATGAAACATTGCAACGATATAAACTGAAAACAACAGGGTATCTTGTATAAGAAAACCCCATTCTTATACAGAGTTCCATTTCAAATGTAACTAGCCCAAAGCTAAGCCCATTATATAGACAAAATAATTCGATACACAAATACAGCTTATTTTTTTTAATCTTAAAATATCAGTCATTTTATACGATGGCATCTACAGGAATAAATGTGCATGCCAAGACCTATTTTACCAGCTACTTCGTCGTATCAGCTATAAGGCATTCATAATAATAATAACAGCTATTAGAGAGAAACTTGCCTTCCATATGGCGATGTCATCTAATTTCCTATAAGACACGGGTCAAGGCTTTCTGAGCTCCAAGACGGATGGGTGTTCGGTCAGTTCAAGGGCGTACGCGACCTACTTCTCTGAAACTTTGTGCCCATACAAGCACAAAATTAAACCCGCCGCACGGTGTCTTTGAAAAAATATTAAAAATGTTGAAAAAGATGATGGTTGAAGCTTGGCTAGCTTAATTTAGAACAGTTGGTAGCCAGCTTGTATAAGTTTATTAAAGCACGATCCTTAGTCCTCTTGTTGTTTTCTCAAGTGGCAATGTTCGTGGGCAAAGTATTATTTCATTTGAATTTTATTTAATTATATTTTATTTTAATTAATTAATTACAATTTTATACGAATAATGATATCGGAAAGAATTAAGAAAATCATTATTACAATGATTCGTAAACTGATAATTTTCCAACCACTCATCAATGATAAACGGCGGTGACCACACTTAACCAATGTAAGAGCAATACCATGCTGCCTACTATAGCGAAATTATCAGCTGATAAGAACTACTGATACTGATCAATTTTAACCAGTTTTCTTTGGTAAAAGATCTAAGTCAGTTATCGTATCGTCAAAGATTAATCAGACGAGGACGCTTATAAAATGCATGAAGAGTAATTCGTAGATCCATTCCGAATCGAAAATCGATCATATAATCGTTTTTTAGCTTATCTGTTCAAATCTATGGCCTGAAAAGGGCCTGATTAAACAAGCCCATTTGGCACTCAGTTCATTCGTTATATAGGCGTACATAAAAGACTTAATGTTTACATTAGTTAGCATTAAATTATGGGCTCCAAAACCATAAATCATAGGTTTCATGGCTATTGCCATGGTGCTTATTTTGTTCATTTTTCAGGACACACAAGTCCTACTAATGAAAGGATCTTTTACAGCCTACCCTGTCGGAAAGCACTTCCTACATTAGAACGCAATGTCGTTGCTTGAAAATGAACTTCTACACAAAAAGTTGTCCGGACAGTTTGACTTTGAAGCACAAGATCGACTCCTCAGCATGCGCACTCAAATGTTAAACATCCCTTCTGCGAGAAAAACTTGACATTGAGAAAAAGTGTGTGTTGTTAATGAGAAAGTTTAACCATGACCGGCGTGGTTCCTATGAAATCAAATGGCTCTTGATAGATTACCTACTGTATTTCACCAAAAAAAAAATTGACATAGGAAAAATTATACGACAAGCCGAAGTTACGATAAATACTTAGTAGCAAATGTCGACTCTTTTTATTTCCGCTATTATCTTCCTAATTATACCATAGAATTCTAGCCCGAATATTAGT